CATGCGGCCATTCTTTGCTGAAAGGAAAAGCATCAAAAGCTCTGAAAATGGGAAACCCATAATCAGGGTCAACTACCAGTACAAACAAACACAGAAATGGGAAAAATTAATCAGGATGAGCTCCTGTACAGGCAGCCTGACAACACCAAAGAAGCCCACTTAACGGAACAGGCCATAAACTGAGAGAATATTCTTGAAACACATATAACCAACAAAGGAATTGCTTGCAATTACATAAAGAAACCTGGTGGAGATTAAAAAAAAAAAAAAAAAAAAGACAACCCAAAAGGAAATGAGGAAGACAGCCCTCAAACTTATGAAAAAATGCTGGGAATTCCCTGGCTGTCCAATGGTTAGGACTCTTGTGCTTCCACTGCAGGGGGCTGGGGTTTGTCCCTCGTTGGGGAACTAAGATCCTGCAAGCTTCACAGCATGGCCAAAAAGAAAAAGAAAGAAAAGATGCTCAACCTCACCAGTAATCAAGAACTTGCAAATTTCCTTGCACAATGATATACCACTTCACACCTACCAGAGAGGAAAAAATAAAATCAGGCAATTCCAAGTGTTGGCAAATATGAAGAACAGTGAGAATGCTCATGTAACTGCTGGTGGGAGTATAAACTGTTACAACCTCTTAGAAAATAATACAGCAAGATCAAAGCTGAAAATACACAGACCTTTTGGCCCAGCAATCTCTCTTCTACTTATATACCCTAGAGAACTTTTGCACATGTGCCATCAGGAATGCTTTACTAAAGAATATTTATAGCAGCAATATTTGAAAGAAATCAAACTGGAAACAACCCAAATGTCTACAACATATAAAAATGGGAGGAATACATTTTGGTATATCATCAATAGAACACTGTGTTACCATGAACATCTACCCGGATAAACCTCAACAATATGGCTCGCGGAAAAAAAAAAAAAAAAAAAAAGGCAAAACAGAAGACAACATATAGTATGATTCCATTTATAACAAATACAAAATAAAACACAGCTCTACTCAGGGATGTATATGTAAGGTAAAACTGTAAATAATAAAATAATAAAAGTAAAAATGATTAGAAAAAATTCAGTGATTACCCAAGCAAGCAAGGAAGGCAGATGCAACTGGGAAGGGGCCTATGGGAGCTTCTAAGGTACTGGTTAAGTACCACTTCTTAAGGTGAACAGCATCAGGAGGCAATTCTCCATGGGTCTCTCGAACTTCTGCACATATTGTGACCAGAGGCACTGACTGCCTCCAGACTATATTGTCAAAGTTGTTTGTATAGTGAAGTTTGTTTCTATGGCTTTGGAAGTAGGAGACAGTGTGTCCCTACAGAGCAAAGGGGATGCAAGCTCACAGCCCATTATAGAAGATTTGGGTTCTCTAAGCTCAGAGTTCTTGTCCTGTGAGGCCACCCACTGTGTGTATGGGTTCTCATCGTGTTGCGCTGTGGGAACTGACTCAGGGAAGTGACAATGCTATATTCTGGCTACTGTTATTGCTGCAATAAGCTGTCTCAAGCCCAATAGCTCCATGTCTTCCATCAGCATCCATGAAACCACGGCAGGCTAACTTGGTAGTGTACAAAAAGGGTAAAATCTCAGACCCTTCACAGTTCTTGACAAGTGGTAGATTTAAGGATATATATCCACACTCTTCTTTAAACTACACATGTGCTTGACATTTAGCTCATCTTAGTACCTATAATCTATTTCATGAAAAAAATAAAAGGGAAAAAAGAAAACAGCAGTAACCTCAACTGGGATCCTAGTGTGTCCCAGAGAAAACAATCTCCTTACCGTAAGTATACAAAATATCTAAGAAACAATTTCTCTTCCAAAGAAAGGGAAACATGAGGCTGACAGAATATTTAAGTAAAGGAAATCAAAGAATACCCTGAAATTATTAACTAGATTATTCAAAGAACATTTATCAAGCACTTTCCACGAGCAAGGTGCTAACGTGGACCCTGAGGGTAATATAAAAATATGTCAAACACAGGACTCTGAGCTAGAAATTTAAGAGTTAACATAAGAGTATAACTTTATATAGATAACCAGGTGCAGAGACAGAATTATAAAATCCTGGAGAATGAAGACCACCCCCCCCATGAACACTGCCCCTAACATGTAGCCTTGTGATATGTTCACCTGCTAACTCACCAGAAAACAAGTACATAGGAACATGTTCAAAGCAGAAGTTCCAAGTTCAGAGAAGGAAAAGATGTAATTGAGGTAAACAGGAAAAGCTTCAGAAGTGACAGAAACCTACTTAATGATTGGTAAGATATCAACAAGTTGGAAAAGAGTGTACACACTACAGAGTACCATGGCTTGGCCAAGAAGTCTCCAGAAATTACTAAGAGAAGCAGAACGAGTCCAGCAGAAAAAGGCAGAGGGTACAGTCATAGATGGGAACTGACAGACTCACTGGCTTATTAGGGCTCTCAAAGGTCATGGGTTCCAGGACTCCTTCCGTTAACCTAGAGAGGGACAGACACATGAAAATCGCTTTCCCAAACCACCGTGACTCAGTCTCAGAGGCAGGACTAGAATCCATATCTCCTGGCTGCTACAGCCCTCGATAACAGGGCAGTGTGGTCCAAGCGCACAGCGTTCAGGCTCTCCGCTCAGAAATTACAGCAAGACTCACTCCTCAGGTATTTTGTAAAAAAACTAAAAGGAAGGGACACCTGTAAAACAATTAGCACAGCGCCTGGCCCGCATTAGACATCCGATAAAGGAAAGCTACCTGTTCTTATTACTGTCAGAAACGCTATAGCTACGATCCTGATCAAGACTAGTAGTATCCTCATTAAAACGGAGTCGGGTCGCGAGTGGAGTGTGACTTCCCCGTGGGGAGAGAAGGTTGAAAAAAGAAAAAGAAGAACGCGAGAGTGGAACCCGCGCCCGGCCCCGCGCACCTCGCACCTCCCGCTCAGGCTCCGAGTCCTCGTCGGCCTCGCGCTCCCGCTTCACCCGCACCGCCGGGACCACGGGCGCCAGGGCCTCGCGCGCGCTCGCCGGCTCGACCTCCCGCTTCACGCGCACCGGACTGCCCCGGGAGCTCGGAGCCTCTGTCTCCCGCTCCCGATCTCGCTCCCGTCTGACACGAGCCGAGCTGCTCCGCGACTCGGACTCGCGCTTCCCGCGGGTGGATCCACGAGACTCCCGCTTGGACCGGCCGGACATCGCCACTACCGGCCAAGTCGCCCGGCGCAGACTCCAGGGAAGACCAAGCACGCGGCAAGCGGCCAATCAGGAGCGGCGCTGTTTTCAAGCCCAAGGTTTTCTACGAGTCGCCGATGGGGACAAATCAAGCCGCGGAGAACTTCTGGGAAGTACTACGCCTCTTGTGTGTGTGGGGGGGGGGGGGGGTGTCTTTGCGGGTGCGCGCGCACCTGAGACCGATAGGCGGGCCTACTGCCACTTTACTCATTATTACCCGCCTAAAGAGGCAGGAACCTTTCACTGGCTGCGGAAATTCTGGATTAAAAAAAGTTATCATTGGGCCCCAGGTGTCTTCAAGATACTCTGTGTCCCCAAACCAGAATTGGCAGGTCGTCTCCAGTCTCCGAGCCTCGGAGGCCGACGGCCCTGCACAGAACTAGGCAACATCCCCAAGTCATCGCCTTCGTGGAGCAATCCGACGGCTCTAATTCCACATTTAGAGGATTGTTCTTGGTATCACAGAAAAATGCAAACGACGAGCAGAAGGAGACTAGTGACGCTACTAAAGCTCAAGCTTCAGGGTCTGTGACTTTCACGACCCCTTCCACAGCCCTTAACTATTCAATACTTTGTACAGTTCTACTGAGGTGTGATTGACATACAATAAAATTCACGTTTAGGGCTTCCCTGGTGGCGCAGTGGTTGAGAGTCCGCCTGCCGATACAGGGGACACGGGTTCGTGCCCCGGTCCGGGAGGATCCCGCGTGCCGCGGAGCGGCTGGGCCCGTGAGCCATGGCCGCTGAGCCTGCGCGTCCGCAGCCTGTGCTCCGCAACGGGAGAGGCCGCAACAGCGAGAGGCCTGCGTACCGCAAAAAAAAAAAAAAAAAAAAAAATTCACGTTTAAAGTGTGCAATTTGCTGAATACTGATAGAGGTATGTATACACTCTGAAACCACCACCACGATCAAGATAATGAACCTAACCACCATCCACCAAGTGTTCCCCTGCCCCGACCATTGATCTGCTTTCTGTCGCTAGAGATCAGTGTCACTTGTTAGAGTCTTATATAAATGGAAGCACCCAGAGAGTCCTCTTTTTATCTCCGGCTTCTTTCACTCGGCGTGTTTGTTTTGAGATTCATCCAAGTTGTTGAGTGCTCGTTCCTTTTTGATTGCTCAGCGGCATCCCACTGTGTGGATGTACCAGTCTGTCCCTGTTCTACTCACGGATTCCTACTTTTGTCTCTTTTTAAAGAGGATTCAAAAATGGCACAGTCTCAGACGCCTGAAAGGCCCTGGATCCTCCCACGCCGAGAGTTAAGACATCGGTCCGGTGGGCGCCGAGACGAGCTGGGTAGCGGGAAAGTCCGCAGAGCTCTGGTGCTGCGCGGGCTGGAAGGAGCGTCCCCGCCGGCGGCGGCGCGGAGCCCCGGGCGGGCCGCGGGCTGGGCTGGGCGGCCGGGGCGCCGCTGTGTGCCCTGCCCTGGCACTCGCCTCCTCACGACCCCTTTGGAGGTAGGTGATATCAGTGCCCTCATTTACAAATGAGTAAACTGAGACACAGCGGGGTGCAACAGTCAGCCAAGGTCACGCAGCTGGTGATGGAGTTTCACAGCATCCAAGCACAGGAAAAAGGACGGGAAGGCTCCACACCGAACGCTGAGTGGTGTGATGGGTGCTTTGTGTCTTTCTGGATTTTCTGATGTAGCTGCACTAAACCTAAATCCTGGTTTCCTACTCATAAGGTCACAACGAAAGAAAAGCCCCGCCCCGGAGTGGAAGTTGCGCATGCCCCATTGCCCCCCGCCCCTCCCGCTCCAGGAACTCCGCGCGCTGGGACATTCGGCCCGGCTGGCCATTTCCCGACCGACGTCAGGGCGCAGGGTCGAAAGTCGAGCGAGGAGGGGCGCGGAGTTCTTGGGGCACGAGGGTGGCAGTTGAGGCCGTTGAGGAGGCGGCGGCGGCGGCGGCGGTGGCGGCGGCTCCGCGCTCAGGGGCTCCAGATGGAAGCGGCGCCGGGGCCCGGACCCGGGCTCTGCTGCAAGCCTGGCGGGCGGCTGGACATGAGTCACGGCTTCGTGCACCACATCCGACGGAACCAGCTCGCCCGGTACCGTCCCGCCCCGCGCCACGGCTGCCAGCCCCAGCCTGGCCTGGCTCGGCCGTCCCTGACTCCCGCTCGGCTCCCCGCAGGGACGACTACGACAAGAAGGTGAAGCAGGCGGCCAAGGAGAAGGCGAGGAGGCGGCACACGCCCGCGCCCACTCGGCCCCGAAAGCCCGACCTGCAGGTGTACCTGCCGCGACGTCGAGGTGAGGCCGCCCGCCCCGCGCGCTCTTCTGCCCCCGGGCCCTCTGCCTCCACGCGCTCTTCTTTTCTGTCTGGGAAAAAACTATGTCCTAGCTCCCAAGGCTCATTTCATCTCCAACGTCTATCTCGACGCTCCCCAATCGCCGCTCAGTGATTCTGCCCGCAGCACAGGGAGGGCTCAAGGCCCGCAGTTAAGCATCACTATTACCGGACCTCCCTGAGAGTCGGCAAGTTGTCAGCCGCTTTGCCCCCAGCGTACTATATTTTCGCACTCCCACCAGCTAACAGGAAAAAAGTTTGGCACAGCTCTAGGCGACGAGGACGTAATTGTGGAATAAAGCCCAAACCCAGTTAATGGGTTTTTTTCCCCAGCTTACTTGTGATCTAGAGATTACAATAGTTAACGTGCGATGCTAAATTTTTTGAGCTTCTCTTATGAGTGTTTTTAGAGGTTATGTGCAGTCATTCATTTAGCTTTCAGAGGATCCGGTAAGATGGGAACTATTATCATTTCTGATTCACAGTCAGGGAAACAGGCAGAGAGAGGTTTCGTAACTTGTTGGAGATATCAGAGAAGTAAATGGCAGAGCCTGGATTTGAACCCAGGCAGAGCCCTATTCACCTCTCCACTACCTTACAACCGTGTAGACAGATGTGCATTGTATACCGACTGCGTGGTAGGACTGTGCTGGTCCTGGGGCAGGGATACAAAGGTGAATAAAATTCCTGATGGGCGGCTGATTTCACACACACACACTCACACACACACACACACACACACACACACACACACACACACACACACAGGTACGTTCTGGGTCCATGAGAAGATTGGGGCTTTACAATATGTTTTCCTGTATCATCTCTGGGCAGGGGTTCCAGCAGCCTTCCTCCCTTCCCTCTCACTCTGGTTCATCCTTCCAGATGGCTCTACCCACCCAAGCACCCCAGGCTGTGAGGAGTCTGGTGAAAGCAGCAGTAGTGGCAGCTCTGAGCCAGAGCTCCCTGGCCATCAACTCTTCTGCTTAGAATATGAGGCGGACAGCGGAGACGTCACTTCAGTTATCGTGTATCAGGTACGCCCGATGGAAACAGCTGCAGCCTGAAGGTCCTGGGCCGTGATGGAAATCACTGCCGGACCTGGAGCCACTGTTTTCCTCAGGGCCAGTGGGAAGTGTTTGCTCCACATGAGAGCACAGACTGCTGGGCGATGCTTTTGAGCACAAGTCACTCCCGTCACACAGTGATTCTCAGCGGGCAACAGGGAGGGCTCACGGCCCCCAGTTGAGAGCCACTATTACAGGGGACACCTGGGAAATGACAGGCATTGGCAAGAAGTTGTGAGTCAAACAGAGTTCTCTGAGAGTGTTGTCTAGGGACAGGGCAGGTCGCCTTTTCAGAAGAGGCCAGGCCCTGAGCTTCCTGACCCTTCCTCCATGTAGGATGATGATCCAGGAAGGGTGAGCGAGGAGGTGTCAGCACACACGCCTCTGGAGCCACCCATGCGAGAGGCCCTCAAGTTGCGCATCCAGGAGGAGATTGCAAAGCGCCAGAACCGACACTGACCAGACTGGAGTCACTGACCAGACTGGAGTCGCTGTCCAGGGAGCCGCCCCTAGTTTGGGGGTGCCAGGACCAGTCTGAGCTGATCTTGAGGACCGGCCCCCCCCCCCCACCGCCCCAGAGCTGCCACATCTACAGGAAAAGGGTGTCACAGGGACTACGCCTGGCCACCTCCCTTGTAGCCATTCTTTCTCGTATATTGGCTCATTTGACCAGCCTAATGTTCTGGACGTTTTTGAGAATTTTGTTTGGTTAGCTTGGTGTTCTGGAAGCAGAGATTCCGGGGAGAGATGAGGCTTATGAGACCTTCTGCCAACGTGCTGCTTTCTCACCAAGGTCACATGCCCCAGGGCATCTGACCACGCTGCTCCGCCCAGCTCCATAAGCTCTGTTTGTGATTTTATGGTTCCTTTCTTCTGTGTTTCTGTTCACTTCCATCCGTGCTTTCCTAGATCATCTTTTCAGCTCTGTTTCTTTGTTCTTTTCTTTCCTTCATCTTTTTTGTCTCCCAATCCATCAGTTCCACCCCACCCCCCACCTCCCAGTGTGACTGCTCACCTACGGATGCTCAGGACTTTGGAGATGGGGTACTGGGGTCTACCTTTCTGACAGGCTCTCTCAGTAATTCTGATACCAGTCGAGGGAGATGATCTTCTTTGACGCCTACTTGTGAGGATGTCTTCCTCCCCTTCCGTGGTTTTTGCAGGTTTCTCCCATGCTCCACCGCTTCACACAGTCTAGGTAAGGAGATCTAGAAAGATGATACCAGGACTAAACTGTGAGGATTTCTTGCAGCAAAACCTGCCAGGGTTCGGACTACAGAATTCCAGCTTCCAGCCTCATCCCTAGCTGTGAACAGACCATCCTCTGCTCAGGCTAAAAGGGAATTATCAAAACAAGCCTGAAACCGCGTTTCCAAATGTGATTTAACAGCCTTGAATGTACATACAAAGGGAAATTCAGCATTAGCAATAATTACCTGTTTCAAGCCCTAGTTGGGAAAAAAAAAAAAAAAAAAAAAAAAGCCTGAAGAGAGCCCTAGAGGGAGCGAAACAAGCCTCCTTCATCTGCCCTTCCCTTGCTCTGTGCTTTCTCCTTTCCTACCTCCCAAGAGTATAGAGTATATAAAACTCCCAGTAGATCCTGAGAATAAAGATCCCAGGAATATCACTGCTTTCACCTAAGTGAACATTTTTCCTAATGCAGGGTTGGGCTACAGTCTGAGAAATCCACAAGCAATCCCACGCACTGCAGTTTCAAGCCACTTCAGTTTTCCAGCAAATGGGCCTAACCTCAGTGACTTGAAGTATGGGGTTTAAGTGAGCCCGTGAGCAGAGACTTCTTCAAACCAAAGCCCCCTGCCCCAGAGGTCTTTCCTCATCAGGGTCTCAAGATCAGTCTGGCTGGTCCCTCTCAGCAGCTTTTCTCTTAAAGGACACCTGAGAGCACTTCTGGTTCATGCCCTATACACCCCTGCAAATCTGCCCCCTCTGAAATGGGGCAAGGCAGCTACTTCGACTCCATCGTTAAAATGCAGCAAGTCGCAGCTCGCGGGGAAGGTGAGTGAGGTGGGTAAATTAGAAGGACCTGGTTGTGAAGGCAGCCAGGGACCAGCACGCTCTTGAGCCCCAGGGCTGGCCCAAGGTTAAATGCCTTAAACTTGCCAGTCCTGGGCTCAGTTCTACTTTCGAAGGAGAAAGTCTGTCCTCATTCAGCCAGGCTGCAAGTGCCTTTTGACTTTTAACGTTAACTACCCTCCAGAGCCTCCCGGGTCAAGGAGACTATGCCATACTCTCTCCCCAATCTTCCTGCAGCTCAGCACCAGTCATTTTAGTCTTCCAGCTCTTCAGCTGATCTTCTGACTTGGACATAGGATTTCACTGGAACTTTTAGGCTTCCTAGTCTGGAAATATTTTGAGGTTCGTCTTCTCACGGCTGGATGGCCCGTTTCCTGGATTTATTATAGAATTTAGAAACAAGTCCAGAAGAGGAGGTTGGGGGCATGGCACCTGAAATTTTAGCCTCCATTCCTGTGAGAATTGTGTACCTATCCTGTCCTTCTGTGTGTTTATCGTGTAATCCTAACACTCTCAGGTAAGAGAATGATGGTAATATCTTGCTTGCAAGCTTTTTCTTGAGGCCCTTTGCTGTATATCAAGTGCATATCAAATATTTTCCACTCAAGAAAACATGCTAATTTGTGCCACGAGACTATATAAAGCGCTAAGCCTGGTACTTAAATGAGGCATTGTCCTTCAGAGCAGGCCTGTTGGTGGTGATGGTGCCATCACTCCAGGTGTGCCTGAGATGCTTCTCTGGTGATGGCCCTCAGCCCACTGACAGCCTCACAGCTTCGCTGGTTGCTTCTGCCACACCTCATCCCAGTCCAAGGTAGTACTATCCAGTATGGTTACCGGACCTGCCTCTCGATGTCTTCCAGCTGTTTTCAAATATCAGTGCTTTGCCATCAAGGAGCATGTTCCAGAGCATTTCCCAGAGGCTCTAGAGATGTCCCAGAGAGGACTGTCCTGTGCTGTGTGGTGCAGTGGCAACAGCATTAGACTAGCTGGGGCTTTCCGGCAGACTGCTTCAGAATCAACACTCATTTAACTAGATATATTCTCAGCCGCCTTAAAAAACAAAGTCTTGTAGCCTGACAAGCGTATCTGATGTTCATCCAAAACGAAGTGATCTTCACTTACTAAGGCTAAGCCTTGGATTTTACGGCTTTGTGTTTCCTGGGCCACAGTGGGTGATTACTAATAGAAGGAAGGTGGGGCCTGCAGGGGCTTTGGGCTGTGCGAGAGTAAACACTAAAGCTTGAGTTCCAGCCAGCTGGCAAGTGTGGAAGTCTTTGAAGAAGGTAACGCAAGAACAGAAAAGGAGAATGCAAAGCTTTTTGTACTGAGTGAGAGTAGGAGCCCAGCCAGCCGGTAGGACCAACGTGGGCAATAAGAAATGCTTGTTCCTGGACTTCCCTGGCAGTCCAGTGGTTAAGACTCTGCGCTTCCAATGCAGGGGACGCAGGTTCGATTGCTGGTCGGGGAGCTAAGATCCCACATGCCTCACGACGTGGCCAAAAAAAACGCTGCTCCCTGTGGATGAGCGTCTGAAAGGGACATTCTGTCTCCATTGTTCCACTCTGAGGGGCACTGCCATCTAGAGATTAGCCCACGAAACTGGAAGAAACCCTTTGGGGTGGGGGGTATCCAGTTTGTTGTGCATCTGGCAGGATCTGTGGATGGTAGGGTAGGGATCCCCCAGCTGGTCACAAATATAAATGGGGCATATAGAAAGAAAACTAAGGACAGATTACTTTCCTACCTCTGAGCCTTCTTTAGGAAGAAGAACCATGGAATGGTGACAATTATCTGAAACGTTTTAAGCTCCCTCCTTGAACTCCTGTCCCTGAGGAATCAAATGACCAAGCCACCCCAGATTTCCCCAGGAGGTGGAGTGATGCCAGAAGGGAAGAGAGTGAATGGCCCCTCTGCCTTTCCCAGAGCCACCAGAATGAGACTGGTTGCACTGGCTGTGTCGTGTTAAGTGTGTAAAAAGCTATACATTCTTCTCTTTTCTCATTTCGTTTCTGCGTTTGGATGAATAAAGTGACATGGAAATTATTTGAAAATCCTGGAAGGAAGGTACTTTTCAAATACAGTATTTTTTTCAGCCAATAAACTTACTATTTTTATAGCACTGTTTTTGCCAGGAGTTGTGAAATCAGTTGTGTACACAAGGAAGTGAAGATTACATGCTGCCCTACAGTCATTCAGCAGCGCAGAATCAGCACTTGAAATCTCATCTCTTGTTCTGCCTATTTTAAGAACTGTCCTGGTTGGAGCATAACAAGTAGACTCACGTGGCATTAGAGCTGGAAGGGCCTTTTAAAGACATCTGGTCCTACTTTTTACCTGATACGCAACTCCTCCCTACCGACTACCCACGAAGAGCCCTTCTGTCTTGGGCTAATTCTCTGTTTTAGGGATGACTCCGATTGTCATGTTAAACCCAAATCTGCCTCCTTGTCAAGGCTCTGGGGTGCTTGCCTTACCCCTACTTTAGGATAGAACGGCCAGTTTAGAACCTGAGTAGCCTTCTCAGGCCTTCCCCATGATCGTGGTGGGAGAGGAACTGAAACCCAGCTCAACAGGTGATAGTAAATGTTGATTAAGAATTGCAAAGCTTCCAGGGGCCTTCTTTGGTGGTCCAGTGGTTAAGACTTCGCCTTCCAATGCAGGGGGTGCAGGTTCCATTCCTGGTCAGGGATCTAAGATCCCACATGCTTCCCCGCCAAAAAACCAAAGCATAAAAAACAGAAGCAATATTGTAACAAATTCAATAAAGACTTTACAAATGGGCCACATCAAAAAAAGAAAATATATATATTTTTTAAATTGCAAAGCTTCCAAAGCAGTAGGAAATGCTGAGCGTTCAGGGCACCATTGGGCAGATGAGAAAAAGGTGCCTGCTCCAAGGACAACACCCCTGGGCAGGAAGTTGGTGCTTCTTGGTAAATTAGAAAGAGGCACTCCCTTGTCCTGGGGCACAGCATGGCCAGCAGACGGACTGGATTTTCCACCCCCCCGGTCCTTCAGCCAGGTATTCTTGTACAGTGATCGCTGTGCACTGCCATACTTTTTGACCCTGATTTAACTACTTGTGCTGATGCAATTTGGAAGAGGGCCCTCCAACAGGTTTCCTGTTTGCATTTTTACCTTCCACTAGGCCCAGAAAGGTTTCTCCTTCCTCAAGCTGTCGTCCAGTTAGTTTATCTTCTCCATTTCCCCCGTGGTACAGGGCCCTGTTTCTGCGTATTACATTTGCTTCACCAGTGCTGCCAAACTTAAGCTCCCTGGTTCCCAGCAGCCTGGGCCCATGCTCCCTTCAAGTAAAGGTCTGTCAGCCCCAGTGTTGTCTCACAAGGGCTCCAACAGATCTGCTGGGCTCCCGTTTAGAGTGCCAGCTACACTTCCAGTGTGTGAAAGGAAGATTTCCTGCTCCTTTAATCATGAAAAGAATGTCTAGGAGGGCACCCTTGGCCTGTTAAGTGTGGACGAAGAATGTCTCCTGCCATGTCAGGAAAAAAGATGTGACCATCAAGTCTGCAGCCATCCCCAGCTGTGCACCCTGAGGGGATTCAGGGTGGAGAAAAGCAGGATACTGGCCCTAGATAATTAAGGTGCATATCAAAGGAATGATTTCAATGAGCCCAGACTCTTGTATCTTCCCATACATAGAAAAGCGCTAATTCATTAACTTGAGGTGTCTGTTTACTGGTCTTTAATTAACAGTAAGCTTTTGATATTACAAATACCTGGGTTTTGCAAAAACTCCCATCCTGGCTTCTCCCCTGCTTCCTTGGAGCAGTCCCTCAGAGGTATCCGAGGGGCTTCCTCCAGGGCTTGAGTCCTCAGAAAGTCTACCGAATAAAACAATTCTCAACTTTTAGGTTGTGCATTTTTTTCATTCAACATAAATTTTGGTGAAGCTGTTGGGTAACTTATCCTCACAGTATCCTGTTTGCTTTTTCCCAGATTGCTCTGGGTCTCCTGCCTTCCTCTCCTCTCTTTTGCCTCCCAACACCTGGCCAAGTGTGTCTACTTAGAATGGATATTGTTTCAAGTGAGTGTTCAGCAGTCAGGAAACACATTTTGGACACTGACTTCTGGACAGTACACTGTGTACTTGTACCCCTGAAAATAAAATGTATCTGATGAAAGTAGCCCTCCTCCAGAGTTTGCTGAGCCGAGGGAAGCAAAAGCCAAATCCGGAGCGCTAGTCCCCTAAGGAACAGCCAAGGCTTTGTGCTTGCTTCTCTGCAGACCCGCCTCGCCTTGGACAGCGGCAGGCACGGGGTGCCACATGGAGGGAGGCTGCCCGAAGTCACTGTCGGCCAGTCCAGGCTGCAAAATGTGCGCGGCGGCTGAGGGAGGCTTCCTCCAGCCACGTGCGCGGTGACAATCACACGTGCAGCGGGAAGGCAGTGCACACCCGGAGCTCCCCGCCTCCCGAAGCTTCCCCCGCAGGTGGAGGTAGACGGCACTATCCTCTTGGCATCGGTGTCAGAGGTTCCGCTGGGGTCCCGTGCCACCGCCCTCGGCGTCCAGGTCCCCAGAAGTCGGGGCACCGCCCACCCTTCCAGCGTGACGCGGGCGCGGGGGCTCGGGAGTTGTAGTTCCCGGATGGGCGCGAGCGTCAGGGCTGGGGCGGCGCGGACTCCACGTCCCGGCGGGCGGCGCGACTCGGTCCGGGGCGCCGGGGGAGGGGCTGCTCGGCCCTTTAAACCATTCAGGGCAGCTCCGAGGGCCGCAGCCGGGGACGGCGCCACGCGGGGGCCGAGCAGAAGCGGCGGCGGCGGGGCGCTCCGGGGAGGTGCGTACTGGGCCCCTTCGTCCCCCGGACCTGCGGAGGCGCGGGTCCCCGGATCCCGGGGCCTCGCGGACCGTGGGCTCCGGGCGCCCTCGCGAGCGGGAGCGGGCCGGGCTGAGCTTCCCGCGTGAACCCGCCCCTTCCCCGCAGCGCTGGTGGTCAGGTGGCTGCCTGCCCCCGGCCGCCTCTCCACCCAGCCCCGGATCCCCTCCCAGGCTTTCCTTGGCGTGGCCCCCTGGACTGTCCTGACTCCAGCCCCTCTCCCAGCCCGGGACCCTCAGGCCAGGGAGAGTGGCCCCCTTTCCAGATGTTAGGGCCCCGCGGCGTTTCTGAACATCTGGGTGGAACGCGGAGGCCCCCGGTGGATGCCGGAGGGTGTCCACGTTGCGGCGGGGGCTCAGCCCGAAGTGTGGGCGCTCAGAGCCGCAGCGGGAGCCCTGCATCTGGTGTTGACCACCTTCCTCTCCCCCGCACCGGCTTTGGCCAGCCACTAGACCCTGGACTTTGACCTGTCTCTCTCCACCAGGCCCGGGCAGCTGATGGTTTTGGCGAAGTACCTTAAGGTAGCTGGGTCCACACCCTCTTCCCCACCTACCTCTTGTCCTCCCCCCACACCACCACCACCCTGGCTCCCCTCCCTCATGACCGCCTGGATCCTCCTTCCTGTCAGCCTGTCAGCATTCTCCATCACTGGCCTATGGACTGTGTGAGTAAAGAGGGGGATGGGGGGAGGCAACTAGGGGACAAAATGGACCCAGGCTGAGAAGGGACAGGACCCAACAGGAGCCTGATGGCACACACAAAGTCCCTTGTCCTGTTGCAGGCTCCAGGGTGGTACCCAGGGCCACTCTGGCTGTCTGCAAAGCCTGGCCTGGTGCCTGGGCACACAACCCCTTGGGACAAGCTGGCACCACTGCTGTCCAGCAGGGTGGCCCTGACAGACACACTTCTAGCCAGGGCAACTTCCAGAGGTCCTCTAGTTTGGGACTAGGCTGTGGGTTCTAGAGTAGCATCAAGCCCCAGGGCCACCCCAGGTTGAGTCCCCGGAAAGGACAATAAGGCTGAATGGGGGCAGAAAGGAAAAGAGTCAGTGGGAGAAGGCTGGGTGCATCATGGGGCAGGGTGACAGTTGTGCTCCCGCAGGTATGCCATGGCCGTGATGAACCACCACGTGTGCCCCGTGGAGAACTGGTATGGCGCACTCTGCAGACAGCCTCACTCTAAAGCTCCCTTCATCTCTGTTCCCTCTGGGGCCGGGGCTGCCTCGAGCCAGATGGAGACACTGGGCCTCACTGCTCTTCTCTGACATTGGCAGCGCCTGCCCCTCCCCAGGCATGGCTTCGTGCCCACCTACCTGCTTCCCACCGTCATTCGCCCCTTTGGCTTCTGTCTCAGGGGGGCCCTGGGAAGTGGGCTCTTCTGCCCCTGCCAAGGGAGGTCTGGGAGGGTGGTCTCCGAGAGGCCTGAGCCTACAGGCCAAGGGCCTGGGGGAACCCCTTTCCCCCAGGCTACTCTCTGTCCTGCCTGCCAGGTCCTACAACGAATCCTGCTCTCCTGACCCCACTGAGCAAGGGGGCCCCAAGACCTGCTGCACCCTGGACGATGTCCCCCTCATCAGGTAAGGCCTAGAAACCGTGCAGGTCACAGAGACCCAAGGCCCTGCTAGACTCCCAACTAAGCCCCCCCAGCAAAGGCCTGTCCTTGGGTCTCAGGAATAATAATTCCATTAAGAGCACTTAATTACAATATTACTTACCAGTTACTATGTACCGGACCCTGTGCTGAATGCTTTACATGCGTAGCAGCATTTAATTCTCCTAGCACTAAGGCAGCTGTTGTTTTCACCGTTTTATAGGCAAGGAAAGTGAGACAGAGCTATGTCATCCATCCAGGTCCCTCAGCTAGTAAGTGGAGGCACCTGGATTTAAGTTCAAGCTCTCTGTTTGCCCAGCCCAAGTTCTGGCTTAAGGGAAGCCAGACCTCCTGCAGGCCTTGACGGTCTCAGGGAGTCCAAGAGCCTCGGGGTCTGCCGAGCAATCCTGGGCACTGCCTACCCCAGCACGCACACCAGCTCTGCCTTGGGGGGAGGTGTGGCCAGCCTAGGGCCAAATGTTTGTGAGGGACCCTGGCCCTTCTCATCAGTCGGGCTTGCCTGCTAAGGAACAGGCACAGATAAGGCAAGGGAGAGCAGGCGGGCCAGAACGGGGCCTTCCGGTGCTCCTGCCCCCCCCCCTCACTCTGTCCTCGCCCCCTCCTCTCAGCAAGTGCGGCACATACCCCCCAGAGAGCTGCCTCTTCAGCCTCATTGGCAACGTGGGTGCTTTCATGGGTGAGTTGTGCCCTCGGCCCGACCACCAACCCGCTCAGTCCCGCCCGCCCTCACACCTGCTCCCCAAAGAGGCCCAGGAAGCCCTGGCCTCGCGCCGCCTACCCCGCCACGAGCTAAGGCCAGCGGGGCCACTTCTCTTCCGTTCCTTGAAGGCCCAAGGCTAACTTGCACACGGCCACGCCGGTAGGGCACACCACCCGCCTGTCCGTTCCCTTCCTGCCCTCAGAGTATCTGGGGAAAGCTGGTGGGCTCGCTGGGCTGGGCCAGGGCCAGAGCCGGCCCCACCTGTGCTCTCCTCCCCCAGTGGCCCTGATCTGCCTCCTGCGCTACGGGCAGCTCCTGGAGCAGAGCCGTCATTCCTGGGTCAACACCACGACGCTCATCACAGGCTGCACCAACGCTGCGGGCCTGGTGGTGGTGGGCAACTTCCAGGTGCGCCCGCCCGCCCACCTCTTGCACTTCCCGAAGGGGGCCAGGCTTTCGGCAAGGGCCCTCAGTTTCCCGAGGGTTGACCCAAGCTGCGGGTCTGCCCCTCAGGGTTGGGGGTGGGAAGAACAGGGCCCGGGAGGGGAAAAGCCCGGGAGGGAGGGACGGAGCGGGGTGGAGGGGGCTGCTTCACGGGTCGGCCCCTCTCTCCGGGCCCAGGTGGATCACGCTAAGTCTCTGCACTACGTCGGAACCGGCGTGGCCTTCACTGCCGGGCTGCTCTTTGTCTGCCTGCACTGTGCCCTCTCCTACCACGGGGCCACTGCCCCCCACGACCTGGCTGTGGCCTACCTGCGGATTGTGCTGGCAGCCATCGCCTTTGTCTCTCTGATCCTCAGTATCCTTCCAGGACAGGGCGGCCAGGAGCTCCTCCTGTAGCCCAGGCCCTCTCCCACCCAAGATGGGGATCCGCCCCCACCCGGGGTGGTCTTCTGCCCCCCTCTCCCGGGAGGTGAGGCCTGGTCCTCGGCCCCAGCCTAGCTGCATATCCGGGAAGGCAGAAAGGGTGTCGCCAGGCTGCCGCCCATCCCACTGAACATTTCCTTAGCCCCATCCCAGGCGGGGTCTTCTTCATCCACGAGAGCTCTCAGCTGCAGCACGGGGCAGCCCTGTGCGAGTGGCTGTTTGTCATTGACATCCTCATCTTCTACGGCACCTTCAGCTATGAGTTCGGGGCAGTCTCCTCGGAGACACTGGTGGCCACACTGCAGCCTGCCCCCGGCCGGGCCTGCAAGTCGGCCGGAAGCAGCAGCACCTCCACACACCTCAACTGTGCCCCTGAGAGCGTCGCCATGATCTGAGGTCTGGGGAGGGTGGCTGGCCCGGCCTCCGCAGCTCCCCACCCCGTTATCTCCTTTGCATTTATTTTGTACCAAAAAACGATTTTGAGAAAGTATTCTGTTGGGACAGAGGCTTCCTCGCTCCTGGAGGAGTGGCCATCCCACACCCACCTGTGCCATACAGGAGCGGGCCCTGGCAGCTGCCCAAGCTGTGCACAGCCTGCTCCCCACACCGCAGTGTTATTTTTATGTTTTAAAGGTCACGTATCCTCATTCACCCAGCCAGCCCTTCAGGTGCCTTCTACTCCCCCAGTGCCACTGGGGTTTCCTGCTGCAGGAATTGGGGGCTGGGAACAACAAGAGGGACAGCAGTCTGGGGGCGGGGGTGAGCACTCCTTAGTCTGTGGGAAGGCCCACTTCTGGGCCCACTGAGCTGCACTGGGACTCTTCACTCTGTCCCTTTCTTTAGGGCAAATAACACAGCAGAACCACGTGGGTATTTTAGTACTTTTTTATATATATATATCTATTAAAAGAATTCTAATTTGCATGTTTGTAGTCTGTTCTGGAGAGTCGGAGAGGGCCTGATCCTGGCTTTCCCTAGGCAAAGGATGGGAGAAAGCCTCTGCCTCCAGGGAGGGTCCTGAGTGCCCGCTGCTCTTTGAGAGCAGGACTGCCAAAAACGAGGGATGCCAAGTGCTATCCAAATAACCCCGCAAGGGCTTGAAGCCCTTTCTGGGCCTTTAAACAGTCTAAAGAGCCGACTCGATCCTTTCACACTTCCTGTCCTGCTCAGAGTCTGGTTTGAAGCTTGATTCCACACTAAGGGATATGAGGAAGGGAGGATACAGAGAATAACTTGAAAATGTTTGTTAGAAGCAATCTTTGCAGTGATGCTAAAGAAAGCCCCTGGGATTCTAAGGTTGACTAAAGATTGCAGGGGGAGGGAGAGAGATGGGCTAGTTTTTCTTCACCGTTTTTAAGTAACTACTGGCTGCCAGACCCTGACACATTTTGTTTTCCAACCACAGACACAGAGGCCGAAGCCCTGGCTGGTCTGGTTGGTGGCCAAGTTCTTGACCTGGGCCCTACTGCCCTGAGGCCAGCAGGCTTGGCAGAGAGGGATACGCAGCCTGGTATCTTCTACGGTTCAGGACCACCTTCCCCCATAGCAGTAGAGACCCACTGGAGGGTACAGCGTCCCTGCCCAGGCCTGTGAGCAATGGAGCGGCAGGATGGGTAAAGAAACTTTTAATGAGAATCCGAGGCAGAAGAGGAAGGTGTTGTGGAGGAGGACTGGTGTGCCGTCCCAGCCACCTCATGTGTACATGGCTCCATGGAGGTTCTCGAGTCGGTGCTTCTGCTGCTGCTTGCGAGCCTGAAGGAAAGAGGGTGCACTGGGCAGGGGCCGTACCCCAAGGCCTGTGGGTGAAGGGACAGGGCAGCCACCGTGGGACTGGCTCACTGTCCTCAGGCCCTGGGCACCTGCGATGCCAAGGCTCTTGCCCCTCACTAAAATCACTGGGAAGGCCGCCAGAGTCAGGGACCATGAGGCCTACTCAGGCTTGCTGAGGTGGGGAACGAGAGCATCAAGGACGGACGCAGGGAGCCCCGTCACCACCCACCCCACTTACCCAGCCCCTACCTTATCTCGTCTATACTCCTCATAAGTGTCATCGTCAGTGGGCAGCTCGTGGCGGCACAGGGGGCAGGAATTTGTCTGGGAAAAGCAGTGCAGTGTACGAGCCCAGGTCTGGTCTTGATAAGCTGAAAACCGTCTCCAGCTCCCAAATCCCACCCCTATCCCTCTCCCGTCTCTGATCCCCCCAGTAGTCCATAAACAGAAAGCGGCTTGAGAACTGGGCCCAGGGCAGGGTGAGGGCTGGGAAAAAGGAAGCAGTACCTTGCTCAGCCAGGGCAGAATGCAGTTGGAGTGGAAGAGGTGATGGCAAGGCATCTCAATGGCAGTCTCCTCCTCCTCAAATTCCAAAAGACACACGGGGCACTTGAGCTCTTGAGGAGGGAGTGCTAATCAGGAGAGCTGCTATAGGCCCTACCTCCCAGCTCCCATTCCTGAAGGACACTTCTTGCCCCAGCCTGGCCTGGAAAACTGAAGAGCCAGACCATAGTCTGGCTTCCAGAGGGGGTGGGTCCGGCAGACCTGACCCAAGTAGTGGAAAGAATTAGTGTTCTCACCAGCCTGAGGGCCCCCGATGACTGTCCTGGGGAGGTTCTCAACTGCAGTCTTGGCAGCAGGTGGAGGCAGGTGGTGGTCCCAATCTACTACCAACCCCAAGTCTTCGAAGTCCATCCTATTGAAAAGGGACCTGGGAAGAAGAATCCAAGGTCAGAACCAAAGAAAAATCATACTGCTGGGGCTTCCCTGGTGGTCCAGTGGTTAAGAATCCACCTGCCAATGCAGGGGACACGGGTTTGATCCCTGGTCCAGGAAGATCCCACATGCTGAAGGGGAACTAAGCCCGTGCACCCCAACTACTGAGCCCGCGCTCTAGAGCCCACGAGCTGCAACTACTGAGCCTGTGTGCCACAACTACTGAAGCCTGTGCGCTCTAGAGCCCGCGTGCTGCAACTAGTAAGCGCACGTGCCGCAACTACTGAGCCCGCGTGCTGCAACTACTGAAGCCCTTGCGCCTAGAGCCCACGCTCTGCAACAAGAGACGCCACCGCAATGAGAAGCCCGCGCACCGCAACGAAGAGTAGCCCACGCTCGCTACAACTAGAGAAAGCCCGTGTGAAGCAACGAAGACCCAGCATAGCCAAAACACAAAAACAGAAAAACCCATACTTTCTCATTGCCCCCGCAGTCCACTAAGCATTAACAGATAAGTACTCTGCCCAGCTACTAGTACTAATAGCTACCCCTCAGTAGTGCTCACTACGTAAAAAGCACTGCGGGAAATGGCTTACAGCTGCCATCAGACAACCCCAAGCACGCAGGCTGTTTATTCCTATTTTACACATGAGACAACAGCTCAGAGAAGTTACCCAGGCCACGCAGGAATGACCTGGTAAAGCCAGATTCCAAGTGGCAGTGTGGCTTCCATGCTTGGAGTTCCTAACGAATATGCCTACTCACAGCCACACGGCCCCTACCCCGCCCCCATGACCCGCCTATTCCAGAACCTCCTAGAGCCCACTGCCCTGCGGCCCCGACTCCCCCGACTCGCCAGCTCGTCTTTTCCAGAACCCCCTTGCCCGGGCCCCTCCAAGGACGATCCAAATTATCGACTTCCCCCGAATCCCACTGTGGAACTAACTCTCCAGATTATTTATCCGTCCTCCTCTGAATCCACTGCCTCAGATAATCCGCCTTCACCAGCCAGCTTCAGCCCAGTAACCTGCTGCGTGAGCCCTACCTCCCAGCCCCGCGCACCCACCTTGCGAGCTCCAGCAGCATGTTGGTTCGGGCATCCTGCTCGGGGTGCAACGGCTCGCAGTCGTGTTCATCGAAATAAGACGCCATGGCAGCGGGCCTGACACAGCCCTCAGACCCCGCTGCACCTCAGCCTCGCGGTGCTGGCCAATAAACTGGCGAGTTGAGGGAGGGTGACCAATCATAGCATCCGAAAGGCGGGCACAGTGGCTCTTTCGCCTCAGGGAAAGCGGAAGTTTTAATTTTCTCACCTTTCATTGGCTCGATTAAGTCAGGTGACCAAAGGCTGAAACCAATGGCAGGGGCCGGGGCTGGTCAGAAAATTTTCGTCTTGCAGTCCCAGCCTAGAGTAGGTTCGTGGGAGGGACGTGTGGATCGCGTCCCTAGAGCCCTGAAAAACCAAGGGTCTGGGCTGTAGGGGTCCTCCATCCGCTCTGCGGCTCAGAGAGTCTCAGCAGGACAGATGTCAGAGGTCTCTCAGAGAGGGAGGGAGGCCCTGGCCCAGGGATCATGGTTCTGCGAGCCTAGGATGCTTCCCGCTGCTCTGTCGCGGCCTCGCCGGGCACTTCTGCACTCTAATTTGTTCAGGGCTTGGCGCTTCACTCCTCCACGACTCCCGCAAAACAAACAAAAATTCCCTGCTCATTTCTTCTGTGTAAGGCACAATAATAAAGGGTGGGGCAGCCTCCCCAACCGAGAGGAGGACGATCCCTGCAGGGGAATCTAGGGCCTTACCAGCTCATGGAACTATCTGTGTGACCTTTAGCCCATTGCTCAACTTCTCCCCCAGCTTCTGTAAAACCAGTGGCTTGAACTGAACAAGTGGTTTGCATCCCTGGCTACCCATGAATCTCCTGGAGAGAGAAGAAGAGGAGGGGTTGCAGCTTTAGGGAAAAAAACAAAAAAAAACGTGTCTGATACTTAGCCTCAAAGATTCTGATTTAACTGATCTAGGCCTGGGAGTGGTATTTTTTTAATAAGCTCTACCGGTGATTCTGATGTGAGGCAAGGTTGAGAATAACTGCACTAAATGATTTGGATAATAGTTAGCATTTAGTTGGCATCCAGAACCATTACATTGAGAGATATTGTACATAGGGTATAAATACTCCTCAGGGTCATCCTGGGAACTAGTATCATTATCCCTTGTTACATATGTAAAACCCAAGTCCACATTCACAGGGCCCCTTAGTAGTGTTGCACACCTCAGTGCAGCACTGGGTGCTTGCCTCCATCTTCCCCGGGAAAGGCAGATGGTGGTGAGCCTAGCGAAAGTAACACGCTCTGTGCGGGTACAGCTCCACACAACTCGATGGTTTGTTCTTGTTTCTCCGTCAGTAGCCCTCACTCCATCTAACAAGGAACTGTTTCTGTTGCACACTTGACCCTGAATTCCCCTTCCCACCCACTCTTGAGTTTGACATGCAGTTAAGGAGTTCAGGCAGTGGCTGCCCTGTTTCCCAGGTCTTGGTAGGGCCTTTCCTTCTTCCCCAGCCTTTACCCAACGATCTTACTTGGTGCCCTGAAGGCACTGCCTCCCTGGCCCTTTGAAAAGCCCCAATTCTTTCCCACAGGGCAAACTTTGTGACTCTGCATTACAGCACCATAGAAGGAAGCCCTTTCCCTTTCCTGCCACCTACCCCACCTGTGATCTGGTGTAAAGCTTGAGGGAGAAATTGGAGCAGAGGTGCTCAAGGGGAAAAGTCTCTCTGAAGGTGAGAGCCTTGTGATATAAAGATCTGGAAGTGCTTTCCTCTTTGTCATCCTATCTGGAGTCCCGTGGGTCCTCTGAACATCCCAAGACTCAGAAAAATAACAGATTTCATTCTCAGGGAAACAGACTTGGAGGGCACTGGTTGAAGGGTCTGGTTTGGGGGCTGTTGTGTCTTTACACATGCACCCCAGAAGGATGTGTCTGTAGGGTTGGATCAAGTTGAGAAGGGAGAAGGGCCATCTCCCAAGGCTGGAGTCCTTTGGGACTTTCTGTTTTCCAAGCAGCCCCAGGGGTGGAGGCAGGGCAGGATGAACCAATCTGAAGACCTTCAAACACACACATAAACACATACACCAGTTTTTAACCAAACAGCAGCTTTTAACCCAACAGCAGCTTTTACTAAGCTCCAGGTGGGGCTGCCCTGGCATGGCCAGCGCAGCAGGTTGCCCTCAAGGGCCAGTCTCTGGTGTAATAGGAAGTAACAAAGGTGCACAAATTGCTGCTGCCCTTCCACGCTCACTGGGGTGGCTCAGAAGGGAGCAAACTCCAGGGTTCTCTGAAGACCACAACCGACCAGTGTGGCTATTCGGCCTCTTTTCCAGGCCCAGCTGTGTCATTCCCCAGGCCCTGAGGCAGCACCTGCACCCTGGGCCTGTGGGGCACTGCTGCCCTTGCTGCTTTGTGGGAGAAACATGGCCAACAACACAATCAGGAGGATGAGCAGACCACCGCCTACTACCAGCCCCAAGTAGATCCGGCAACGGACATTCTCCCAGCGCTTCTTCTGGGCCAGAGTCTTGGTTGTCTTGCTGAAGGCGGAGCTCTGTGGACACCCCCAGACACAGGGTAGGAGTTAGTGGTTTCCCCAGAGCCCTGGACCAGCTCCTTCCAACCCAGCCCCGACAAGGCCTAGTCTCCTCCCGCAGCCTCCCCAACCTGTCAGCTCCCTTTCTCCCTTTCTCAGGACCCTCCCAGCCTGACTCCTGGTCTCCCACACTGGTGTAGCCCTTGACTCATAGGCCTACAGGCTCACCCCCAGTTAACAATGCCAGTCTTCAACCTTTAGGAAGATCCACAGCTTCAAACCAAGGCCTTCGTACTTCGTGAGACCTCCCCACCCATTGCATAGCTAGGCTAGGGATGCTTCAAGAAACCCACAGTCCCCACACTGGCCCTTGGGTGAGCCTCAGGCCCTACCAACAGCCAGCCGGGAGACCCTGAGCACAGCCTGAGAGCTCCCTCTGAGGGCCCCTCCTAGCCTCTCCCTCCCCCTCCCTGCTTCTCCAGGCCTCACACCATGTCCAGGAGTTGGTCTGAACGCTGTTCCAGCTCCGCCAGCTTCCCGTCGCGCTCCAGGACCTTGTCGAAGTTGTTGAGCATGATTTCTGTCACCTCATCCGCCTGCCGCTGGCACCGCTCCAACTCTTTCCCTGCCTGGACACCAAGCCCAAGGTCAGGGCTACATGAGGCCCCTGCCTGGCCCTCATCTGGTCCTGAGACCTAGCGGCCTCCTTACCACACTGGGCGTGTGTGTGTGTGTGTGTGTGTGCGCGCGCGCGTGCGCGCACGCGCTTGCGCAGTGTATGAGAAAGGGGAACAGCGCCTTTCACGTAAGGGTCTGATATGTGCAGAGGGAAGGGCTGGCCTCTTGGGTGTGTACGGCTCACCTTTGGCTCCTCCCCTTGCCCATCAAGGCAGGTCCTAGGTCCGCCTTGACTTCCAGCATCTTCGCTTCCTCTAGGATGCCTGAGGATGGGACCTTCTCAGGACCCACCCTCCCACAAAGCAGACATTTGGCTCACCTGCTCTAGGATGGCCTCAACCTACTGTGCACCTGCCCTGTGGCTTCCCACTGGCCTAAGGAGGCAGCAAAGAACACAGAACCAAGCTACCTGGCCAGAGCCAGACAGGGAGGAGATCCAGCCCACTGAGCCAGACAGATAATTTTGGATCACCACACGTTATAGCCTCTGCCTAACCCCACAGACACATACACACACACACACACACACACACACACACACAAGCTGAGATCAGATTTCGCTCCCCTCCCTCCTCCAGCCTCTGACTGGTCAAGCCAGTTCTGCCTCCTGGCCTGACCCTGCTCCCACATCAATGCTCAAAGTCGATTCATTCTCTGTCTGCCTGGGAGCCTCGGCCTTCCTGGCCTCTGGCCTCCAGCTTTCCAGCTAGCCAGGATCTTCACTGGGATCCAACTCACACAGGAGAGACCAGCTCTTGGATTTCCCAGCCTGGGCAGCAGCCTCACCTGACAAAAGAACCCAGCTCATTTCAGAGGACTGGGAAGGGAGATGCAGGGTCCAAGCTGGGGGAGAGGCCAGGAAGAGGAAGAACACATGGATCACAAGCAAGAAAGAAGCTGGGCTTTGGATACATGCAACTGGGAGAGACCCAGGGCAGGAGGCCCTGGTGAGAGCTGGAGGTCCAGGGACACGTCAGGAGATGAATCCCAGGGGACTGACAAACCACAGGAACTCCCTCCCCCAGCCCTGTCCCCCAGAGCCCAACCCTGTTCTCATCTCCTCCCCACAGAGCATGGGCCAGGCTCCCTTTCCTGCCAGACTATATTGCCCATTGTCTGCGGCAAGACATTTTGGCACTTGACTGAATTCCACTTAAAACCAGAGAAAGTGAAGGGATCTGGTGGTCACAGAGGGCCACCTCCTACTCAGTCAAGAATCCCCGTTCAGGATCCCTGCAGCTGCCTTGCATGTAACCTCCAAGCATTCCCAGTATATGAATCCTATATCCTGAGCTGGACCACAAGCTCCCAGGGGGAGGGCAGGGGCCAGTGCCCTGCCTTTGTCTGCCACCAGCCTGGAGGCCCAGGAGGCCAGCACAATGCTGACCATCTGCAAGGACTCAATGAGTGAGCCAATTGCATTATAACTTATCCAAATGCAACTGTCATTCTCAAGTTTTTTATCCCAGTGTGTTTATCTAGCCCAGCAGGAGTTTCGAGGGGCAGGCATCTGAAACCCAAGTAGGTCAATATTTACTCATGAGCTAGAAAAGCAACCCATTTTGAGAGGGGGCCGGCAAACCACGACAGAGCGGTACACTCATGGGCTGGGGGAAGCAGTAGCTGGGGAACAAGGAAGCATTATGAAGAAAGCAGGGAAGTTGTACTCATCTCTTGAGTTTTCCTGAGTCAACCACCATCACCACTATTATTATGACTAAATTATTCAACAAGTCTCCATTACTTGGAGTCTCTCACATTCAAATAGTCCAAGGCAAAAACCTGGGAATGGACCAAGATTCAAAAATGAGAATCAGGGCTTCCCTGGTGGCGCAGTGGTTCAGAGTCCGCCTGCCAATGCGGGGGACACGGGTTCGTGCCCCGGTCCGGGAAGATCCCACATGCCGCGGAGCGGCTGGGCCCGTGAGCCATGGCCACT